TAATAACCAAACTGGGCCTTTCCCTGGTGGTGCAATGGGTTAAAGCACAGCACAATGAAGCTATCCAAGGACACTGAAGCTTGAGTTTGATCCCTGACCAAGGAAGTGGGAGGTGACCCACATGGTGCAGCAGATCTCTCCTGACCTGCCTACTGCTCCCCTCAGCAGTACTTCAGTAGATCTGCCTGTTCTGTTCCCCACTCTGACTGGTGAATCCTCTCATTCCTGAACCTCTAGCTTATATCCTAGTTCTTATATGCATAAATAAATAAATATTAAAAAAAATAATGACCAGGCAGAAATATTCAGAGACTCATTTAATTCTCATGTTACATTGAGTTCAATACTTAATATGCCTGTTTTTTTCATGTTAATAAGGGAATAAAAAATGGAATCTGTTTGTATTTCCTTAAGGAAATTTAGTAAATGAATACATATAAAATATTTATAAGTTCTGGCACAAAAAATGATTTCATCAATGTTAGTTTTACTATTTTTTTTTTGGCTGAAACATAAAAAATGTGACCAGAGATATGTTTTACTCAAGACCAAAACAACTTTAAACACATTTGCTATAATATGACATGGTATCACAATAGTAGTTATTCTGGTTTGCCTATTCACTATTTTCCTTTTCTTCCACCCCTTTTACTCCCTTCCCCCACTCTCCCCAACAGCAATCAGGTATTTCTCTGAGAAATGTTTTCCAACTCTTGTCCCTTTGTTATATTCCAGGTAGGTACCCAGCCCAAAATTGACTGAAGTAAAATAGGGACTGTTTTTGGGGTGGTGCTATGAACTAAGGCGATGGTGAGACTGGCATTTTCTCTAAGGCTATCCATAATCAAGTGATTAGAATGTAAGCCTGGAGCTGCCCCTGGGAAGAAATCAAGAACCAAGAGATGCAAGGAGACAGAATTCCTATTTTGTGACTGCTGAGTCCTGCTAAATTTGTTGTTGTTGCTTTTTAAATTTCACAAGCCAATAAAGGCCATTTCTGGCTACATTCCATTTGAGTGAGGTTTTGGTACTATAATCCAAAGTGATCTGAATTGCATCACACTCAGTCACCGCAAAGCTAGAAGCCAGTAAGATTAAGTTGTGATCTCCTGAAGTCTGACATGAACTTGGAGGTGTCACTGTAAAGGGAGTAACTGAGTTCAGAAATTCTTATCCACATGAAGATGGACATGCAGGCACTTCACACTTGATGACCAGAAAACAATAAAAGATTTTGGGAAGCTGTTCCTTTGATTTGGACGTGTGTGAAGCTCCTTGAGAAGTAGAGAAGATTCTGAGATTTCCTTGAGAAATTCTGTAGCTGGCCAGAATTTCTCCTATACATGCAGGGATGCTGATAGGCCACCGATGAAAGCAGTTCACTTTGAGAAACACAATCCTAGAAGGTCCAATTTTGCTTAGAATTGTAGGCAAATCCAGCTGGAAAGAAATCCCCATAGAGCAATGAAATGCAGAAATTCCCACAATTATTTCAGCAACTAACAAAAACTGGGTCTGAGTTGAAGCAGTAATTCTGAAGCTAATTTGGAAGTTTCTCAGCTCTAAAACCAGAAGGATAAAATTTATATCCAGCTCTCTGTGTGGCTATCTTCTACAATAAAAAGGGCAGAGTATAGAATAAAAACAATCATTTAAAAATTAATTTCAAGCTTATGGCTTTATCAATTTCATTACAATAAACTATAGTAACTGTAGTAGATCATAGAAAACAATTCACAAAGATGTTCTTTGAGAATTCATCTCGGTTTTTAACAGAGCAGCTATAATGAGCACAATTATAATAATTGGTATGAAGCATTGCTGCATTCCAAAATACACAGACAACATAGCAAAGTGAAATAGTCTGTTTTCTAAAGCACCATGTGAATTTCACAAAAGAAATCTTAACGTTGACTGTGAAGCATAAGAGGGTAGTAGAAATCATTGAAATCATTTGATTCTGTGCCTGATACCACGGTCAATAAGAAACACACATAAGAAAAATAATACACATTTCCTGTGAGTCTTCAAGGTTGCCTTTGTTAAGGGTCAGTGGTTACATAGAAGTCAAAGATGTGCTTAAATCAAGGGCACTCTACATCATTCCAACAGGGTTTTCCAAAGAGAATTAAACTTAAAAACCAAAGAACCATAGCCACATGCAATGGATTGACTACAAAGCACTGAAAATGGCTTCAACTCTGTACCATCTTTGGGAGAATTGTAAAAATAATCTTGCAAATTATTTTTCTGTAGGTCTTACCTGCCCCTTGATATTCAGTTTAGAAAGGCTAATTAACACTCCTTACATTCAAAATATATACTCCAGGATAAACAGGTATATCAATTTCTGATTCCAAGCAAAATGCTCAAGCAATCATAAGTGGTTCTCTAAGCAATTTAAAGTCTCACAAACAGAACCAGGACATAGAGAAGTAATAGTCAATGTTCATAAGTCATAATTCATGTATCAGAATAGGTACACATTGTACATCAAGATTAATAATGTCAGTGAAACTCAACTGTAGTTCTGTAGAACCACACAATGAACTTTACAGCAAGAATATCTTGGACTCCATCCATAGCCACTAATTGTTAAACTGCCAAGTGCATTATGTGGAGAAGCTAGTCATACAAGGAAAATACAGTAGTATGACTTGAGTAGAATTATGAAAATAAATTCTGGTTTGTTCTGTGGCGAGAGCTTTGTAAAAGGTCTATGCATATATGATGGCTTTCTTTAGACAATGTAGACAATGATAGTATCTGATCTTAATTTCTGCTATTGACCTATTCATATCCATTCTTCATTCCCAATGAAGAGAACCAGATTAACTAGACACATGGGTGAAAATAAAAAGACTCCTTTCCCAGTTTCCCTTGCATTTATCTAGGCATCACCAAGGAAAGCAGAAGTAAGCTGAAATGTATGTAAATAGAAAGGCTTTACAGGCAAGGGTTCTCCTACTCCCACCCACCTTCTTTTTATCCCCTACAAAAGAATGTGATCAATGGAAATCTGACAACTACCTTGACCCATGTAAGTGACCTTATGTGTGAAAGCCATGATTAGAATGACAAGACAGCAAGATAAAAACACCCTTCGACACCACCACATTCTGGCCTGACAGCCCTGAGCTGTCAACTCTAGACCCCTTTAACATGAGAGAGCTAACACTGGCATCAGGCTTATGTCTGTGTTATTTTGAATTTTCTATTTCAGGTGATAAATCCTAAACCTGATAAATACAATCTATAGGCAATTTCCTATTCAGTAAAGGCCTATTGAATAAAGACTAATTGGATTAAATATCTGATATGGTTTGCAACCTCTGAAATCTGAAAAATATATTTAGGACCAATAAAAGGAGAGACTACTTTATCTAAGTGTAAAAAAACATATGGGAACAGAATTTTTCACTATCAAAGTTGCAGATCACTGAAAAAGGAATTCAGATTAATAATAACTAGAAAAGGAAGTCAGTGCAACGTGTGGTGTAAATGAAAACTGGTGCAATTAGTATCATAGCAGAGAGCACACAACATAATACAACATAATACATATGAATCAAAGGTAACAAACTGAGTCAGAAAGGTATGAGTTGAAGTCTGACATAGAGACACAATGTGTGTCTTTCTTATTTGACAGCTTTGTGTGACACATTTATTCTGTCTATTTACATTGATAATTCACTTTTGGACCAAATGGAAGACTTTGGTTTTCAGCTTTTATGTGTAGCAGACAGACATCTTAGGAAAATCCCCAAGACAACAGAAAATAATTAACATGTTTTTGATGTCCAGTGAGTCCTTTCAAGTCTGATTTTTGTTTTATGCTCTTGAAATAGCATGAAAATATTTGAAACAGTACTAAAAAGGCCCGAGAGCATAAGATTGTATGCAAAATGAAGTCTACTGCTTAGGTGGTTTTTGATCACTTTGGCAGAAATTTTATTTCACTGTTGCTCTATAATTAAAATCTGTAGCCATTGTTATTATTTGGTTGATAATATTCCTGGGAAGGAGAAAAATTCATATTAAGTGAATTTCAGAACCAGGCAAGCGCTTGTTTCCTCCAGTGTGAGGTGGACCTTTGGGAAAACTCTTGAGACCGGTCTCTTCTATGTAATCTCAGCATTATTCTTTTAATACTTTCAAATCCTCTTCAAATGCAAATATTTTTGGTTGTGTTTATGTAAATTATTGGCATACATTATTCATTCTAACTACATTAGGCAGTGTGTAAGTTTCTAATTTAATTATAACGGTTCCATGGTCTTTTCAGTAAGCTGTTGAACACTCTTATATTATGCACAAGTAGATATTTAAGATATTTAAGAAGATTCTGTTCCCTGAAAATGGTATTTTTCCCTAACACTAACTTACCTACTAAAAATGTGTAACTACGGGCCTCCCTGGTAATGTAAAGCTTAAGTTTCAGTGCTATCATGCTATCACTGCCAACCCACACATGGCACTACAGACCTCTCTGATTTTGCCCAGGTCTCCCCTCAGCAGTGTATTTCAGTAGATCCACCTGTTCTGCTCACTACTTCTGCCTGGTGTATCCTCTCTCCTTGTGTACCTCTGGCCTTGTACCCAAGTTCTTCTATGCATAAATGAAAAAAATAAATCTTTAAAAAAATGTATGACTATGAGGGCCTCCTTGGTGGCCTAGGGGTTAAGCTTCAGTGCTGACACTATTACAGTCTGAGTTTGATTCCTGGTCAAGGCTTGCTTCCCTGGTCAGCAGACCTCCCCTGTTTCTCTTCTACTCCCCTCAGCAGTGCATTTCAGTAGATTTACCTGTTCTGCTCTCCACTATGGCTCTGGTGAGTCCTCTCACCCTCTGCACCCCTGGCCTACAGCCCAGTTCTTCCACACACACACATACACACACATGCACACACGCACATGCACAGGCACACAAATACTTAATTTAAATTTGTTTTAACAAAGTATAACTACTAAGATCCGGCAGAAAAGAAAAGATACATTACCCCTGTGACATCCATAACTTTAATGGCTGCAAGCTGACCCGTTTTGACATGACGACCCTGAAAAGAAAAGAACAAAAGTGAAAAAGACATTAGTTTCATCAGCAATAATAGCATTTAGTTTCAACTGTAAAGAACTTTTCCCTGAAAATCAATGTCATAGTATGTCAGTGGGGGGGATAAACATACAGATGGACATGCCTCCCACCCTCACCCACACACATCTCAAATACTCTGAAGATCAATTTCAGTTCAGTGTTCAGTTTGTAGAAGCATCCCCATCACTTTGTCTTTTGGTTTCTTTTTACGATGCTTATCTAGTTAAACTTTAAAAGCCAATGTTGAACAATTTGATTTTACTTCATCGCCAACATGTTAGATAACGATTTGTGTGAGAGATGGATTTATATGAAAGGGAGCTAATCTGAAATGGGGGAGACATAAATCTCTCTTCTGTCCAAACTCAATACCTCAATACTTGAAAAACTAGTTTCTTTGAACTTTCCTTTAGAATATTATGCATTAGTTTCAACTGGATATGACTCTATTGTTACTCACTTGAGATTATTAATTTATCTCTACCTTAAAAGGGGTCCTGAAATAAAACTAATAGTTATCAATCCAAATTTGTGATCAAAGAAACAGTGGTGAGCTTAATAAGCCACTACTTCTGAACACTTTGAGTTTCGAACACAACGAAACATTTACTACACAACAGAATCAAACAGAGCATACAATGAGAGCAATCCCAGAAGTGTTCTCTTCACTTGCTCCTTAAGAAAACTTACAGTCTACATCTAACTCTCGGTAACAAAAAAGGTCAATATCCATTACTTCTAAATGCATTTTATAAATGACTTCTAAAATGTATTATACCTACTGTTGCTATCAGGTAGGATAATATAGCTTTCAAGAACAGCTGGATTTGCAACCTAGCTGCATGACTTCAGACAAATCCCTGGACTTTCTTTTGGTGTTCCCCTTTGAAAAATGGAGATAAATAAGAGTACCTAACTCCTAGCACTGTGGAGAGGATTAGATGAGACATGTAAGGAGCTTGACAGTGCCTGAGGCAGATGAGTTGTCAGTAGATGCTGTTATGATTTTTAGTCTTAGGATTAATTTTAAATGTCTTCCTTCCTAGGCTATGTTTTAAAAGGGCAAAGACCTGGTGTCATCACTGTATTTCAGTGCCTGGCATAGTGGGTGCTATCCCATGGATGATGTGGGGTGTTTAGAAATGAACAACAGCAGATAATTGAGCTGTGCTCACTGGAAGTTGGGAAGACTCTTATCCTTCTCATAGACTTGAGTTCTGCACATGCATGTACTGACTCTGATTGTGTTTCTTTACCTCTCAATAGCTTCTTTTATATTTCCTTCCTCAGAAAAAGAACACAAAGATGGAGATATTGAATCGATATTCTAATATGATCACAGATACAGCTCTTTATAGTTATTTCAACTTTTTTTTTAAGATTTATTTATTTATTCATGTAAAACATAAAGCCAGAGGTGCAGGGGTGGTGAGAGACTTCACCAGAGAAAGAGTGGACAGCAGAACAGATATGAAATACACTGCTGAGGGGAGCAGCAGGCAGGTCAGGAGAGGTCTGCCGTGCCATATGGGTCGCCTCTGAGGCCGAGGATCAAATTCGCACTGTAGAGACTGTGGCCAGCTTGCAATGCTGCGTCCTAACCCATTGCACCACCAGGGAGGGCCCAGTTATTTCAACTTTTAAAAGTCAAAAGCGAGGGTGACAGTGTTACAGCAGAAAGAGCTGTGGGCTGGAAATCCAGCAGTCTGGTTCTTGTCCAGGTTCTCCCCATGATCAACAGGTTCATCTGTGGCACATTATATAACCTGACTTGTTCCTAGTGCAAAACAGAGAGAGAGACTGGCTCATTAACTAGAGGTGAGAGGAGTAGGTGTGTTCCCTTCTCCATCCCAAGGAGACTTTGGAAATTTAGCTTTTACAATGACTGAGGAGAATATTACTCCTGTTATTTAGCATCAGCTATGAGGAAATTAACTTTTTACTTAGCACAAGACACCTAAAGGAGAAGCAGCAACGGAGCCCTCTGTTGATAAGTACTGAATGAGTTACAGGACCACCTTGGTTTCAGAAAGCATCTGTACAAAAGATGCTTAAGTAAAAGGATAAATAAATTTTCTTTGAAAATATAAACTCTTTAAGTTAAGGGCCAGAAATCATTCGGTAAAACTAACTCTCTGAAGGAGAGTAGGGGAGACTGTAGATAGATACAGAGGGTCTGTAGATACCACACAGCAAATTCACCTTGAAATTCTTTGAGTGGTGCCAGACAGCAGGATAAAGGCTAACCCGGTGTGTGTGCAAACCCCATTAAGAACCCATTGTGGGCCCTCCCTGGTGGCGCAGTGGGTTAAAGCACAGCACTAAGAAGCTAAAGCCACTTCCGCATGAGTTCTATTCCCGCCTGCCCCGGAAGTGACCACATGGCGCGGCAGACCTCTCCTGACCCAACCGCTGCTCCCCTCAGCAGTGTACTTCGTCAATCTGCCTGTTCTGCTCCCCACTCTGTCTCTGGTGAAGCCTCTCACCGCCCCTGAGCCTATGGCCTGCACCCCAGTTCTGCATGCACAAATAAATCTTTAAAAAAAAAAAAGAAGAACCCATTGTGGCCTTCCTGCCACAATACCTCGCTGGATTCCTACTTGCTCTTATTCTGTGGCCCCTAAAGTTAAACTGTGCACTCTTAAATACAATGATATTTCTTGCCTCTCAGATGATGTGTGTTCTTAGCCTAGGAAGCCCTTTACCTCCTGAGTCTTCAGTGTCCCTCATCTCCGTGCTACCAAAGCACATGTATGCATTTCTATTATTGTACTTGAGCCCAAAGTTCCAGTGGTTCCCCGAACCCCCTGTTCACCTTTCTTTTCCCTTAGCTATTTTTCAGAAGAAACTTTCCTCCTCCCCCCCTCTCCCCCGCCCTTAAATACTCTCCTGGTTCAAGCAAATGCTTGACCAGTGAATACTGACAGTTGTACCTCCCAAGCCCACCTCTTTCCTTGAGGGAATCCTTGGGGCACCTCCACCAAAACCAAAACAGTGCCCCAGATTTTCAGAACTTGAGAAACAGTGAATGATTTTTATGAGTGAATAACTGGTCACAAGGATACCTCATTCTTAGCTCTTTACAACAGGAGCTGAGCAGATAGAGCCTAGGTCCTGGCCCAAGGCCAAGAAGCAGCTGGCTACAAGGAGTACACTTTGCATTTCAAACGCAAAACACTGGGCAGTTCTAATTAAATTAGTAAGGAGATAAACAAACAAACATTAAAGTTTGGTTTTTTTTTTGCTTTGTTTTGTATTTTGTTTTATTTTTAAGTACTTGCTAAAATGTCATTGAAGGCACAACTGGAAAAAAAACAATCTACTTGTCCTCCATTTAAAATTTCATTTCCAAGTTGAAATAACAGTTCTCCATGGCTCTGACAGGTGAATGACTAATCCACCTCGGGTAAGGCAGTCTGGGCTTCTGTGAGATGCTGGAGGTGGGACTATTAGCAAGCTGGGTTCAGTTCCAGGCAAAGGCAGCTGGAACAGGAAGGCTGCTGAGCCGTCAACCCGGATGAGGGAGGCCGTGAGGCGGCCACCAGCGTGAGCAGCCTTTCTCTCCCTGGAGAATGTCAAACCAAATTAGGATCCAGATGAAGTCAGGCTTTGAGGGAAGGACAGGGGGCCAGCTGACTAACAATCACTAGAAACCAGAGGCACTGTCATTGTTAAGATGGACCCGGAAAATCACTGCTAAACAGAATTGGAAGAGTCCCTAAGGTACACACCTAACCTCCTTGTTTTAGAGGTGAGGCCAAAATCTTACAATTAATGAGGGCCTGAAGCCAGAACACGTTCCCCTTTGTCCACTTCTGCCGTCAGCTCCTGAACTAAAAATTCTTATTGCTAAAATTCAAAACAATTCTTATTGCTAAAATTCAAACAATCCATCTTTTCACATTTTACCTGACTTGAATTAAACATTGAGCCACTTTTCTGTTTTATATAGGATGGCTTTATTCATTTATTTTTTTTTTAATTTGAAGGCAGGGTAAGAAGTGAGGGTGTTATTATTACTGGAGAATCTAGAAATGAAAAGTTAATATTACTCTGAATTTTAATTTATTCCTGCTTATGAGGAAGTTAAAAATAGAAATGTAGACACCATCTAAATTCAAATCTTAAGCAACTTCAATCAAGGACTAAAAATTAAATTTTGGATTTAAAAAATCTAACTTCTAAAGGAAGCAAAAGGGTTAAAACTTTTTCTCCACAACAATTAGAAAAAATGTCAGACTCTAGTTGCTGAGTCATTTCTTAATGAAAGTATGAGCTAAGCGGCTTTTCTACTGAATGATCAACAATAGCAAAAGTAACAGAATCAACTGAGAAAAATATAATTGATATTCCAGGAGGACCATAGTCTGATGTCAGTCATATCCTCAAGCATAAAAAACACCCACAAGTAAGACAAAAGGACATTCACACAGGGAAAGAGACGACGATCACTCAGAATTGGAGGTGCATCTAGCCCAGTGATCTGATGGACCTACAAACCACTCTGCTCCCCTTTTTTCTCCCACTTCATGCATTAGATTAGGAACTATGCCAATTCTTATTCCATAAGAAACCGCTCAACCTTGAGGTGAAACTTAAATCATTCAAGGATTACAATATTCTACTACTCTAGCTCCTTTCTAAAGCAAATTGCTTGAGAAAAACAAGTTTTGTCTGCAACAGCCATGCAAATCTTGACTGTTATTACTGTTATTGTCTTTGCTAAAGGGAACAACAAGGTGGTTTTGGAGCTGTTCCCTTGAGGCTTGCCTGGGAGAGGGAGTACTTTCATTTCTAAGTCACTGAAATACTTTTGTTTCTGTGGAGCATGTGAGCAAACTGGGGATGTGTGTTTTTCTAGCATGTTCAGCTCAGATTAGATCTCACCTGTATTAAGGGAGACTTCTTCTATTTCCTCATTGTCTTACTTTTATTCTACAACATCTTATCCTAACCCTAATG